GTCTCCCCATTCAGTGCAGAGTTTAGTTTAAGATTCTGTTGATTACTGGGTGTATTCGACATTGGACCATCTCGTGCAGTGTTTCAGTTTACCTGTGACAGCCTGAAGACTGTGAAGTAAAAACACCCAGAATCCGAAGCAGCAGCTGCTGCACGGACTCATGTTGCTTTATGAAGGAAGATGAAGAAAAACACAAGATCACCACAGATACCACAGGGACATATTTGGGGTTAATGTGGATTTAAAAATGTTTCATTTGTGTGTTTGAAAACGACATTTTAATAGGAGCTTCAGTCTCCCATCAACAACATTAAACGTAACATTTGGACTATCTAATGCTGCTTTTCTCAATCAGGAAACACACTTCAAGTTTCACAGCGAACATCATCTGGATATATTTAATAATTCATATAATTTCTGCATAAATACTTCAAACTCAAATGCCTTCATTATTATCTTTAATCAACATCTTCACTGAGACACAGATCAAGAGCTCGACAGTAAAAATCAGCTGCTGATGTTAATATAATAAAACTGTTTTAAGGTAGAAGAAGCAACAATAATGAAGAACAAAACCTTGTTTCAATAATTTTCCAGAGTGGTTCAAAATTATCTCTATTTCCTGACAATATGTGTGTTTTAGTTTGTGGTAAAAAAAAAAAAAAAAAAGAGTAGCAGCAGCTTACCTTCACAGAGTCAGTTGTCAAGAGGATGTGCAAGTGGCACAAAGATTATAGTCCTCGTGTCATGTGACTGGATCCCAGGCCTCTCATTGGATGAGCAAAACCATTTGGCGCAACAACGATGTTTACCTTGAAGGGGTTGAGCTCTAAATGTTTACTGCAGGTCCAGGTCCAGGTCCAGGTCCATAAAGCTGTAAAACAGTTTATAGTGATAATATCTGACTCACTATGAAACTAAAATTGTGAAGGTCAAGAGATAAAGCTGTTTTCAATCACAGACTTTTCTCTTTCTGTTGTCAGATAGTAGAAAACTATAAAATAGACTAAAATGCAGCTGATTCGAACTGCATGTTAAACAGCGGTCACGTCAGAGTCAGTTCCAAGTTGGAGCTCTGCTGAAGAACTTCATTTATGACCACAACTTCATCTGAAACTCACAACACACATGAGTTCAACTTACAACCCTGTAAACCACCGAACATTTCACAACAGTGAAGCACATATGGCCACGGCAATCCAAACTAACTTGAAAATAAAATATAAAACAAATAAATATAAATAAAATGAAAATAAAACAAAATCTACACAATCAAACAGAAAACCACGACTGAGCTCTCTGAATGGCAACAAATCAGGAGACAAAGAGAGAAAAATAAATGTCTTTAGATGACTAAAACTGGGGAAAGATGCAGTGAACATCCAGCCAGCAAAGACAAACACAGAGTTTCTGCAGCAGCAACTTAAGATGAACTCACATGAACTTTGTTCCTGAGGGTTGAAATGCAGCTTCTCTGATGATCTGATGAAGATCAGGTCATACAGACCAGAAGCACACTGAGTGACACTTAGATGTCTCTTTTTTAAAATCAAAAATGACTT